AAAAAAAAAAGAAAAGAAATATATATAAACATATATGGATGTCTCTTTCTACATTAATCTGCGAACATTTTTCAGTTTGCTGATTATAATGGTAATCACTACAAGTGGCTTAAACGGTCTCATGTTACAATGATATCGGTATTCAGACTTACAGTTTTTTTCGTTGGTAAATTTCTTACCAAAATATTCGTTTGCCTGATCAACGTGCTTCCTTAATTGATTTGCTCCTTAGCTCTTGTCGAACATCGCAAATCTGTCTTGGCAATTCGGATCACCCTGCAGTTCTGTTGATATTTCTGTTGATTCCTCTATTAGACCGGAACATCCTATTTACAATACATCCTATTTACAATATATCTTTCCGTTTCCAGCATAAAGATTGGGATTTATTTCCAGACATTTTTTTTAAGAAGCCCCTTGGATTAATATTCTTAACCATCCTATTCAGAATTGTGCCACAGAGGTTTCTTTTTGGTTTAATGTCGATGTTGAAGCTTTCTCGGAAGTATCTTGCGAAACGAATTTTTTATCCATTGTTCACACCCGCCTGTTCAGTCGCTATAGCCTATAGGCATGACTTTTTCCGGTTATACCAGCATTACAGTTCAGATTACAACAGAAGCCTATTTGTGCCTGCACGTAATACTATAGCCTCTAACAAGACTGCTTCTCGTGACTACTAGTGGCTCTGTTATAGTGTCTTAAATGAGAGTAAATCTTCTCCCACTCCCTTCTTCATTCAATTTCAAGTGTTATCTTCAGAATTTTTTGCTCGGAAATTCTTCACAAAGTCTACTCTTGACTCATATGGAGTATCTTTGTCTGACGTTTCACTTAGTATTGATTTTCTCTTGAGTAATTGCTATGGTCCGGTTCTTTGTACCACGGTGATAGTCCAAGGTAGAACCAATAAAGAAGAACTCGAACACGGATATGGAATAACACAGATATATTACAAACAGGGATATATATACAGAGAAGAAGAAAGTGTTAGTACGAACAATCAGGTTTAGTAGTAATTCTCTGAACGCGACTCTGTTTCGGACTGCCTCTGACTCGACTGACTGACTCGCTCGCTCTGACTGACTGACAGACTTCTGACGGACCTCACTCCAGATTTCATACTGAACCTCCTGCTTCCTCTTGAGGCGCAGTATTTATAACGTATGGAATAGTCCATTATGTTATTAGGTTGGTGCAAAAATAATGATGTAATGATGTTGTTTTTTGACGTTAAAAAATACCTCCAAAAACGACATTATTACGTCATTATTTTTGCACCAACCTAATATTATGGGTAAGGTCCCATAACAGTAATGTGCATATAAGTCCTGCCATGGTTTCTGCTATCATCTCTAAACTGGATTTCCACAACAAAACATGTGGACCGGGTGGTATTCCTGCAATAGTCTTTGAAAATGTGCTACCGAACTGACTCCAAATTTCTCTGAAATCTATAATTAATACATGGCTGACTCTTATTTTCTTGCTTGCTGAAAATCATCTTCTGTAGTTCGTATCTTTAAGAACACAGGTGAACTTCTTCCTTTTTTTTTTTTTTTTTTTTTTTTTTTTTTTGGCAAAGTTCTAGAGGCCCTAATCAACACTGAATTGTTTAAGCATCGCACATCGCGGGGTCTCAATATAGCTTTCACTTCTCTTGGTCAACTGCTGATGTATTAACAATTATTGCTGAGGCTATAAAGCTTTAGATAAGAATGGTGAAACTCGGGCTGCTGCTTTGGACATCTCGAAACCATTCAACAGGGTTTGGCACAACGGTCTTCTTAAAAAGTTTAAACGTTATGACATTCCTGAAAGAATCTTTGAACTTATTCAGTCTTTCTTATCAAATCGGGAAACAAATGTCTTGAATAGCTACACTTCTATTTTTTTTAATACAGGTATCCCGCAAAGGAATTCCATCGATAAAACCTTGTTGTGTGGTCACTGCTTGGGGTTAAATAGTTTCAATGTTTTAGATATTCAGTAAATTTCCTATGGCCGTAATAAATTTCAAATAATATGACATTGTTCACAAATCTAATAATCAAACAAAAACAGGGATGAAGCATCAGAACTTGATGTAACTGCAAGTGAAAACGCATGAATTCCCCCTCCGTCTTCACACGTTTACTGTAAAGCTGGGGTTAATAAGAGATTATTCTGGATTTTTCCCTTTTAATGCTTCAATAATCCTTTTCAAACAATCTTTGTATCAAAGGTTGTTCGAATGTCAATTTAAGATGGAACCATCTGAAGAAACCATTGTCTAAACGGCTTAGTTTGTCGAAGATTTCGTCTACTTAACTGAAACAATCTAAACGAAATATTCACACAAAACAATTCGTTCGTCATTTGTAATATACATAGCAAATTTGGAAAACATCAGATGAAAAACCACGGAGTTATGGTCCCAAAACTCGCTTTTTGAAGTTTTTCTTGGTCTTTTCGTTATACTCAGGGAAGCGATCCGGACTGAAACGACATTATCTTATTTCTTGAAGATGGCAATTTTTTTGTGATATGTTTGAAGAAAATCGGATAAAAAATGAGCAAGTTTTTATTTTAAGTAGAAAAACCAGATTTTTTCAGTTTTTTTTTTTGTGTGTGTGTGTGTGTGTGTGTGTGTGTAAAGCGAATGTCGTAAGAAAACTATTGTAACATGTGCTATGTTTTATATTAAGTGATATCAACATCAGTTCATCCAGTAACAATTCCATTCACATGTAATTTTGCCTTGATTTTAAAAAAGGCATACCCACCTTTAGTTTTATCGATTTTTCTGCCAAGACTAGGGAAACAGGTGATTGGACAGATAGTTGTGATCTAAATTTAATACATTTTCAATTTGTACGTACAATTTCATTGAAATCGCCCGAGCAACGCAGACGCGCATAAATAGCATACACACACACAGACATCTGTTTTATAGATATAGATGTATTGCTGGTAATTTTACTATAAAAATGTCTTTTTATGCTTTCCTGTTATTTTGATTTTTGTTTGACGGTTCACTATTTCTCCATAGCTGGAAATCTAACATGATGGAAATGGGGACAATAGCAACGAAGTGGCGGATTCATGCTCCTCAAAACCTCCAATCTTTCAATCAGACATTGCTTCCGGATATAGATCATCGTCATACAAGTTTAAAAGGGTGTCTTGGCTAAGTCAATGATCTCTTCGATGATATCAGTTCCCAACTAGGTAACTATGTAGATGGCGCAACCATTTATTGCTGTCGCAAGTACGACAGATCGATAAAATAAACCTGGCAACGGCTCTAGAAAAGGACCTCTGGGATAAAAATTATGTAACTTTTAACGCCTCCAAAGCAAAACTACATACATTTAATCACCACAGAAAACCTTTTCTGTCTGCCATTAGCATGGCTGACACTAAAATCCAGGTGAGCATGAGTTGGCATTACGTTTTCCCCTGACATGAGGTAGAGCGACTATGTTGAATTCATGGCTAGTTGGTAGGAAAGCTGGTTCACTGTGCCATATCCAGAAAGTTTTCTCGTTAGAATTCAATGCAAATTTATAAATCTACCATTCGTCTCTGCATTGAATATTGTTGCCCAATCTAGTCTGGTGTTGTTGCTGTATATCTTGAGATTCTCGACAAAATTCATAGAAGGGTCAAATCCAGTCACTTTCTCACCGACGTTACGTGGATCCTCCCTGTCATTTCTACAAATATTTTTATAGCAATTTTTCCGACGAGTTTTTCTCCTCAGTGCCTTGACTGCATGAATTTAAATATGTTAGTAGATTCGAACTATGTCGAACCGTTTACTGTTGAAGGAACTCTATGCAATCGACACTTCTACTTTAACAGTTTCTTTTACTTGTACTTCCCACCATTCTTCTGAATTCTTGCTTCCCTGATATCTACAATATTCAAAAATTTAAATGCAACGCTAATCGCCATCTCCTGTCTTCCTCTATTGTTCTTTCTACTTAATTTGTCCCACCAAATTCTTCATTTTCTTTAACTCCCTGCATTCCAGTGGCATTATGGTCTTGCTTGGTTTGAAATGGTTTATAAAAAAAGTCGTGCCTTTTGCTTAAAATTCAAAATGATTTTTTTTCTTCATTTATCATTGTTATATTTGGTATATCTTATTTACATACGTTACTACACCTCCCTGAATCGAAGAGGTCGTATACCCTTGTTTTTGTGTTTTTTGGGTTTTTTTTCTTTTACCATTCCTGATTATTCTCGTACTGTGCTGTCCTTTCACTTGTCTTTCTTGTTTTCTCTCTTCATTTTCTTTTTCACTCTCGTCCGTCTTTTCATTCTCTTAATTTTTTACCCTTGCAAATGCAGCAAAATTTCTTATCCATGTTTCTATGTGTTCTGGTTCGTCCAGCGAATTTAACGATCCTATCAGCGACGCCATTGTTGCGTTTGGTATATTTCATTTGCATACGATACTACAATTATATTAAATGAAAATATGTAACTTTATTAATCAGTTCAAGTTAAGAACGACACGCTTTCTATTGTCCTTATTCTAAGGACCTTAACTTCCTTCTACCACCTCTTAAATTCATACCATACGCCTAATTCATGTTGTTCTTGAGCTTTATATTGAGTGAACTTTAGAATAAATCAAAAAGAGTCTTGTTGCACCACGTTAGGCAATACTACGAAGTTTGATCGTAACTACCTTGGAGATACTGGACTCCTTCTAAGTTTAGTAAACATAGATAGTATGTCTGAAGTAAAAAGAAAGCACTGTAATAAAAAAAAGACACACAGTCGCTCGTCCAAGTCTATCTGTCGGTCCTTCGAAACACCGTTAAAAACGCATTTTTCCTCAATGTCTGATGTCTATCGCGTTCGTTCTTTGACTGTCTCGCAAAGTACTCGATCCGGGCGTTTGGATTAAATTCGCATATGGATATGCAAATCGCGTCACTCTCCCAACATCCTGGTTTGACTAATGTGCATTCATTCTATTCGGATAAATCAACCTCAATTGGTTAATGCGAGACTCAGGTTCGAATCGCACCGAAATCAATTTGGCTTACGGCTACAGACAATGCATGTTGCCACGCGAAATCTTTTCGTTACAATTTGTTTCTTACTTTCTCGTTTTTTTTTTTTGTTTTTTACCTTCATTTTTCTTTATTTTTTTCATGCCTTTCCTTTCTTTTTTCTTCTTCTCGGAATCGCATACTTGTTTTATCTGCATAATGAGTTGTTTCTTTTCGTTCTGTTCTCGTTATTTCTTTTTCCACCCTTTTTTTCGTCTTCAGTGTTTATTTTTATCTTCTTTTTATGATATCTCGCCTTTTTTTTCATTTCTTTCGTTTCTTTTTTTATTGTAATATCATACCTGTTCATCTTTTCTTTTACTTTTTCGTTTCTTTCATTTTGATTTCATTATTTCTTTTTCCACTCTTCCGTTTCTTTACTGGATTCTTTCTTTCAGCCTCGTTTTCAGAATTTATCGTTTCCTTTTTTCCACGCCATTCTTCCTTCTCTGTCTTTTTTTTTATTGCCTTCGCATACGCTTCTATCTACTTCATTTTTCGTATTTCTTTTCTTTCTGTTTTCACTATTTCTTTTCTCCTTCTTTTTCTTTTGAGGAACTTTTCCTTTTAGCTTCTTTTTTTCTTTTTTCTTTTTTTTTCACGCCTTTCTTCCTTTATTTATTTACTTTTCTTTATTCTATTTTTCTTCTTTTATTGTATGTTTATATTTCTTTTCGTTCTCTTTCCATATATTCTTTTCCCATATTCTCATTTTTTTTTTTTTTTGCTTCTTTTTGCTTTCCCTATTTCTTCTCATTCTACCATATTTGCACTCCAGTTTTTCCAATATTTATTCAGTCCCGTTTCCTCTTCGACGCCAAACTACTCAACCAACAAAGACTTCAAGATTCTCTCACCAGCCCGGGGCCATTATCCCTAATTAACACTCAAGGCAGTCACTTGTAATTAATTAACCAGTATAAAAAGTGTGTACTCGAAAGGTTTCGTTTTTTAAAGACACTTCTGTCATGTCGTAAATTGTTAAAAGAAAAATCGAGAAAAAAAACAAAGAAATAAAGAGAGAAAAGAGAGTAACAAATGGGAAAAGAAAGAGAAAGAAAACGAAGGACTGAGAAAAAGAGAAATTATCTAAAAAAACAAAGTCATTAAAAACATAAAAGGTATTCTCCAGCATTTAATACGCCGATCGCCTCAAATGATTGAAGATGACATCAGTTTACAAAACACAGCCTACTATATTACAGAGCTACAGTGACCAATACCAAGTGCTTTATTGGGCTGACCTTGTGTCAAACTAATCTATGCCAAATTAATAACTAAAATTCAATCCTACAGATCGGTACATTTAAATAATTTAAAAAATTCGAATAACAACTATCCATTAAACACAGTATAGTATGGCACAAATCTACAGTAATAAAGCTCCTCACTGGCCTTGGGCCAAACATGTATATAAACTGAATTCAGAATCTTTCCTCTCTCGATTGAGTGAATATATGTAAACAATACCTATTTAGCAAGCACAATATAGTGTCATATAAATCTAGAGTAATGTGTACTGATTGCTTGCTTTATAATAGGTTCATGACAGATATATTGAAAATTATTCACTAGAATTTAAGAAGTTTACCGAAAAATTACACACACACATATATATATATATATATATATTGGAAACACACACACACACACATATATATATATATATATATATATATATATATATATATATATATATATATATATATATATATATATATATATATATATATAGGAAATTGTATGACTAGGTGGAAACATTTATTTGAAACATGTTTTGTCGTTCAGGACTTCATCGGGCTAAATATGTTATATTGGTACGATTACATATCCGCACGAACGAGGGATGCTGGGCATTTTAGGATTTTGTTTTTATCAGCCGAATTTATTTAGAGTCTTTTTCTTTTTTTTTTCTATCACTTTTGTCAGTAGGTATCCCACACTGTGAAAAAAATTGTTCTGTCAAGAATGGTGAAATGTTGTAAGAGTCAAGGCACTGTACTGTAGAAGATCTTGCGATTAAGGCACTCTTTAATTATATTCTGGTCAGGGGATATATCTGGAAAATATGTAGTGTTTATGAATATGGAATAATAACTGACCTCAAATATGAAATTGGTTTTCAAAGCTTCGTTCTGGAGAAACGACGTTGGATATGAACGAATGCATTGGGATCTCTGAGCATAAGTGGGAATCATAAATTAAATTGAATTACCTAAGCGTATCACCTCCCAATGTCCAAACTTAAGAAACTGTCTGACTGTTGGTTTTTGTTTGTTTTTGTTTTTATCTAGATCTATTAGGTCCTTTTTATGGTCAGAAATTCCAATGCACTTCTTCACACACAGTTTTGTCTTCTTTACATTCTAACCTGAGTAAGCCAGAGTGTACATACGCTGTCAGGCGAAACGCGTCGTCAATAAAATTTCACCTTTGTCACATCATCTTCACTTTTGTTTCAGTTACCATTATTATACATCCTACAAACACATCAGATTAGCCGAAAATCATTTGGACACATTTACACATTCTATGTCCAAAAAAGAACTCACTTGTATGAATTCAAGAAAAATATAATACCAATCTTAATCGCAGTGGCTTGTCATTCATCTTCCTATAAGCAAATATATGGATATAGATCCGACAGTATGAAGAAAAATATACGGAAAAAACAAACAAAAATCCTAATATGCAATTATGCTGTTTTAATGTTAATATAATGTCACGTGACGTCGACGTGATCATATTGAAACGGAACGCTGATCTTGAAAAAAATTCAGTTATCTGTTTTGATTAGTCTTACTCTTATGTCCATCGTCTTTTCACGTTGAATTGAATATAGTCTAATGTTAATTATGTTTTATGGATATGTCCTGAAGATGGTCGACTAGACCGAAACGTCCGACGTTGACATTATATTAACATTAAAACAGCATAATTGCATATTAGGATTTTTATTTGTTTTTCCGTGTATTTTTCTTCATATATATATATATATATATATATATATATATAGAGAGAGAGAGAGGGAGCGGGAGAGAGAGATAGATAGATATAGTCTGTTTTTGTTTGCATGGAAGATTTTCAAGCAATGACAAACTCGTGCATACGCGACACTGGAAACGAAAATCGCGCCGCAGATAAGCTTAATAACATTATCATTAAAAGATGAAAGAAAATCACCATATTGATACATACTTTTTAATCCTATCTAAGCTTTCGGCTTATACAAAGCCATTATCAAAGATGACAACTACATTACAATAATATCATTATTGTTTTGTCCCTGTATTGGTTAATACATCCATATATATATATATATATATATCGGGTGTATCACCGGAATTGTTGAAATCGTGTGACAGCATAATCGTCCATCCCACAAAATGTTTAATATCTAAAGAAAATAACGACAAAACTGATTCCGTTTCTTTTGTACAGTTTTACGGATGTTTAGCTATCTTGATACCATTGTCGTAAGAATCACTGAAAAAAACTTCGAGTTATTCAACTCAATATAGAAACGGTTAACATCGCTTTGTGTCTACCTCACTCCCTTTTCAAAAAGAGCAATGGTAGAATGAAAAAAAGATTAATCAACCTTTTTGTAGGTCTGATGAATTGGATCGTATTTACGATTCCAATGGAATAAATTATGACCATGGAATATTAGTGTTTAAGCCTTTTTTATTATATCCTTACTCTGTCCTGGACATTGAGTTCTACCTGGATTCTATCCTCTTGGATTTTTTTATTCAAAAAATATATATACATGTATGTGTATGCACCTATGTATATATATTTACATATTTTGCATATGTATGTGTATATTTACCACTAATATTATATATATATATATATATATATATATATATATACTATTTTATTGGATATTACATTCGAACATATGTAAAACCGCTACATAAATGCATTCATTTTTCAATGCATATCATCGCATCTCATCACGCGGCAGTAAATGAGAGTTATCATTTTTTTTTCATTTGTATATATATATATATATATAGAGAGAGAGATAGATAGATAGATAGATAGATAGATAGATAGATAGATAGATATTATAGTTGATATCATGTATGACACACATTTTATTCCCAAGATGGATAAAAAAAAAAACTCGCTCTAGTTTTTATATGTAAAGTTGAGGCTTTCTCTAGGTTAATTTCATCTCCTACGCTCACCACCCCCTTGTAGGAAATAACTTTATCTCAGACTGTTATGTTTACCAAGACAGACTACATAATCATATCATTTTCTTAAATGACATTATTTTTATTGAATGAAAGGGCAGTCCGCCAACAAATTGACTCCGAGCCCCCTCCTATACCTATAACAACAAATAAATCTGATAAGAGTATACCACGTACATGCGCCACAGACAAATATGCGCGATAAAGTGAGTAGATTTGATAAGATCAGTGCCGAACTATGCAGGTGGGACCCAGATAGAAATACTCTCATGCCGGCTAACCGCGTCTGCTCAGAACATTTTTCAGTAGGAAGTGTTTCCTAGTATCTAGAAGTGACTCCCAAATCGTCACTGCTTCTTCCCGACTCCGGCCATGATTGCCACCCAGAACACCCCATCGTGAACAAAATACATATCAAACTTGTTTAGGTTAGGCATCGGACTTGCATATTTGTGGTACTGAACGAGGAATTTACTGTAGACCACGTTGATTCACCAAAACAAAATATGTAGATGATAACCTCTCCAATCGCCTAAAATCAGCCTTGAGAGCCAAATCTAGTATAGTAACAGAGAAATTTATCATTATTACTAGTAATAGTATTGCTGGTAGTAGCTGTATTTTTATTATTTATTAGTAGTACTATTAGTAGAAATATATTTATTATTTATTATTATTATTAGCAGTAGCAGTTATTTAAAATTAGTAGTATTAGTATTAAATAACTGTATTATTTATTATTAGTAGTAGTAGTAGTAATTTCAGCAGCATTATTATTTATTAATAGTATTATTCGTATCAGTAACTTTATTAGTTATTAATTTAGTAGTAGTAGTAGTTGTAGTAGCAGCGGTATTTTAACTATTTATTCTTAGAAGCATTAGTAGCAGTAACTTTTTTAATTTACTACTTCAGTAATAGTATTAGTATCTTTATTATTCATTATTAGTAGTATTAGTAGCAGTGACATTTATTATTAGTAGTACCTGTATTATTATTAGTAGTACATTTATTATTATTTTAGTAGTACTTGTAGCAGCATCTTCATTATTAGCAGTTGTAGTAGTAGTAACAGTATTTTATTATGTATTATAAGTATTAGTAATAGTATCTTGATTACTTATTATTATTAGTAGTTGTTGTATAATTATTACATGTTATTAGTAGTATTAGTAGCAGTATATTTATTACTATTATTATTTGTTGTAGTAGCACCATTTTATTATTAATTTTAGTAGTATATATATTATTTATTATTAGTAGTAATATTAGTAGCATCATCTTTATTATTTATTGTTATTATTAGTAGTAATAGTAGTATCTTTATTACTCATTACTATTATTAGTAGTAGTAGCAGCTTCTTTTATAATATATTAGTAGTAGTACTCGTAGTAGTATCTTTATTATTATTATTTTGTATTATTATAATGTCGTAATATTATCAGTAGCAGCAGTATCGTTATTATTTATTATTAGTAGTAGTAGTATTATGATCACCTAAATCGTCACGGCCACAGACTTGGAGTGTACATCAAGGAAGAGTTTCCCTATGGCAGGGACGCAAAAAACGAGGAACCCGATTTCCCGTATATGTGCTTCCGCGTGACACTTATCCATAGTAGTATATTCTTCTTTGCTCTTTACCGCCCTCAGGAGGAAGGGACAGTAATCTTCGACTGAATATCTAAGATTGGCAA